ACCTGTATTGGTCCATCGATGGCGGCAACGTAAGTCAGCCATCTGGTTCTGTTGTAGACACTCACAGATCTGTCGGTTCTCAGAATATCCTTGTTAATGCCAAGGCCAGCAGAGCCCAGTTCACATTTACTCCTGCGAACTAGTGAAGTTGTCAAGGAGCTCGTCGCATTCTAGTATGCTTTGATCATGTTTTGTTTGTGTGTCGGCGAAAGTAGCAAGAGGTCTTACTAGTTGTTCAACACAACTTGGGACTTCTTCAGAAATTATATCTACGTGCTGCAGCAATGAAATTTGTCGTTGGAATTGTATCGGGCATCCTGGGTATCTAGGATGTTTGAACCTTCAGGAATAAAAAATTCATGGTAAAGGTTGAGCTGACTAAGAGTATCTTGTCGTCAAAAGCCTTTGAGGACGTGGATGAAGTCCGTCAGGCCCAGGAGCAGAACATTCACTGAGCAGAACCGACAGCTAAGAAATTTATAAAGGGGCGCAGTGGCTGTGCTGGCTGTAGCGGCTGCTGCGGCTCGGCTCTTTCGGCAAACTCCCTCATCAGCTTGTTTCCTCACCTTAACTAAGTTTCAACGTTCCTTCTTGACTAGCCATACTTATGCATAAGTAACCGTGTAATATCAATCCCACTGCCAGGTTTCAAGTGGCTCTACAGAGGTAACAGTCAAAGCTTTCCGCGTTCACCATATCTCTTACTCATGCACTGTTCCACGGTGCGATGGAAAATCATCGCTGTATCCAGGCTGTAGCCAAAATACTCCGAAGATTCCGAAGGGTGTTTTGGAGAAATTTTCCACTCCGCCACCCTTCTTTACACGCTCTTCCACGGGAGCCGAAGCAAAATCATCAAATAACATACGCGCATTTGGACAAACGAATCAGCTATCTTGTCGGATTCGTTACCTTTCGTTACCCACAGTCATTTAGCTGAAAATTTGAGCCTGGGATCTTCGAGAGAAGGCGATAAATGCTCCAATTGGCCTTTGGTGGTCAATGAAGGAGAATGAAGATGAAACGTTCCAATCTCCGGGCGATACACATACTGGAGTACCGTTGATTATCTATCACCACTGTCCAGTGAAGTTGATCTCGCACTCGTTGAAACGATGTCGGACTGCCCGGACACCCAAAGTTCAAACACAGGCCAACATTCGAAATTGGGGTTGCAAACCTGCGCCGGCTCGCATCACTCCAACACCGCATGCTTCAATATTCTCATCCAGACATAAATACAGTCCATGATGTGCAATCTGGTTTTGTGTTACCCTATGCTCAGTTCGTCTTCACCAAGAACATGAAGACACGAAGACTGAGCTTCACCTCCCGCCGTAGACGTTCGTTTCTCTTGAGATGCGTTTTGATTTTTTCCCTTCTCTTGTTTCTACATGTCACCATACATAGTATCTGGCCTCTTACCTCCTCCTTCTTCACTTCCTGGGACCTCGGCTTCCGAAAGTCATCGTTCTCAATACCCTTCCCCAGAACAAACCCTTCTAGCGATACCCCTCACGAATCAAAGCCAACCCAAGACCCGTGGTCTACCCACCCCATCACCCGACTCATGTCCCTCGCCGAAGACCAATTCCGGTCCAAACTCGCGCGCCAAAGCCAAACCCTCGAAGCCGCCATAACCGAGTACCAACACCGATACTCCATGCGTCCCCCGAAGGGATTCGACCGATGGTGGGCGTTCGCGCGCGAACACGATATCGTGATGGTAGACGAGTATGATGGGCTGATGAGGGACTTGCGGCCGTTTTATGAGTTGCGAGGAGGGGGAGAGGAGGTGAGGAGGAGGTTGGGAGCTGTTGTGGGGTTGGCTAGTGTTGATTTGGTTAGGGTGAGGGATGGGGTGGTGAGTACGGTTAGTAGTGTGCAGGCGGATGGGTATGTGGATACGGAGGTGAGTGCGAGGGCGAAGGGGTTGGGGAGTATGTTGGGAAGGTTCGCGAAAGATGTGAGTTTCTGCTTTCTTCCTATGGGCCGCCGGCGAGAATAGCATCGATTTGACAATGGCTGATGCTTTGACATGTGTAGCTCCCAGACATGGATTTTCCAGTCAACGCTAAAGCCGAAGGACGGGTCGTCGTTCCTTGGGAGAAAATGCATGCGCAGCACGATATTTCCATGAGTGAGTTTTTCCAGGTTTTTCCTTCGTTTCTTTGGATCATTATCACAACTCCGATGTTCAGTTCTTTGTCGTTCTTAATTCAAAACTCTTACATCTCGTCTTCACATGTAGATAACAATACGAATATGTATCACCTTCATGCCTCATTCAAACCCGACTGGAAAGGCGAAGGGAACGTCTGGGATGCCTGGAGGCGGACTTGTCCACCGAATAGTACAGCGAGGAAGCTTTTCAGTAGTATCACGGGCAGCATGTCCTCATCCTCCTTGGACCTGGACCAAAACCCTACCACCACACATCCGATCCTGCATGCCTATCGCGAGCTGAACGATCCCAACGATCCGTTTGACTCTTATCATCCTTTTGATCCTACTATCGCCCATGCTCATGTTCAAACACCAAGTCAGAGCAGGTGTACTTCTATATCAAAAGCCGTCCTATCCTCCCTAACTTCCTCCCAATTCACATTTTCCCCCCACACGTCGTTCCACGACCCATCATTCTGCGATCACCCGCATCTGCATTACACCCAAGGGCATTTCTTCAGTGATTGGCGGACGCTGGGTGAGTTGTATCCGCTGATGAGTCCTGCGAAGGCGAGTGGGTTTGGGGATATCAAGGTCAGTCGTAGTCCGAGGATCCATAGGATTCGGACGGTCATACTTATTACTTGGCATGTTCTGGAACTCACGAGTGTGCTTGGTATGCTAGATTCCGTCGCATTACTATTATGGCTCCACCGCGAGCTATACCTACGGCTGGGATGCAGCGAAAGGAGAGATATCGGATGTCGACAAGGACGAGGTTGCGTGGGGTTCGGAGGATGATCATATCCTGCAAGATGTCAGTAACACTACCACCGCCACTTCTGGTAACGGTTCGTCTCTTCATCTTACAACTTTATGCGAGAAGGAATTCTTTCTCATAATCATCCATCAGAAACTCCGCACAAACTCGACAAGATCTTCTGGCGGGGCGCAACGACCGGGGGAGGGAACAACCCGGCCGGGTTCGCGGGGTCGTACCACCGACATCGAGCGGTGAGGAGTCTGGGTGGGTGGGATAGGAAAGGAGCGGGTGATATCTGGGTCCCCACTCCGAAAGCCCGGAAGCATCCTTCTCCGTCGTCATCGATAATACCTCACTCAGTCCGCCAAGTTCAATCCTTGTTTCGTCGTTTAGTGATCTTTCCGTTCGTATCCATCCTGCGCTCCCCAAGGCTACTTCCCCTGCTCTCGGATAGACCCGGGTGGACTCACGATTCCCCTTCATGGGCCTGGTTCAAGATACTACCCCCGCCGGCGCCAGATGCTCAAAAGACATCACTTGAACACGGCCTAGCAGATGGCGATAATCTTTCAGACTCTGTTCTTGATATTCCACTAGTAGGAGAGGACTCCGTCGTCGACGTCTACGGTGGCCTGACACATCTCTCGATCCCCTACTCCACACTCAACCAGGAAATCATGGACGTCGCGTTCATGAAAGTGACCAATCCGAAACAGTATCCTGGAGGACTGGAGAAGTTGATGCGGGATCATAGGTTCGCAGAAGGGATTCCTCTAGGTCAGTCGGTGTGTTTGTTTGTGAGATTGTCCCCCTGAGATGATATTGCACATACCACAGGAGGACACTGGAAATACAAATACCTCCTCGACCTCGACGGGATGTCCTACTCTGGTCGATTCATGGCGTTCCTCGCGTCGGATAGTGTCCCGGTGAAGAGTACAGTGTATGAGGAGTATTTTAGTGATTGGATAGAGCCTTGGTGAGTTCATGTTCAATCACTCTACATAGTACTACTCAGCACTTTGATACTTAACTGGACCCTCACGAATTTATAACGTGGCCCACAGGTTGCATTACATACCTCTATCATCAGGATACGAGGAGATATATAATATCTATGCATATTTTTCTGGGATCCCGATAGAGGTGGTTGGGAAGGTTCAGAGTCATGACGATTCCAGTGGTGAGTAAGGGCCAGGGCTCTTCCTTCCTCATCGTATTCCGAAAAAAAAACGAATCTTCCCCATCCTTGGCGGGCTTTCATGATCATTGTCTTACTACTTATTCAACAACAATCTTTCTTTCCCTCTTGAAATCTTGATACAGGATTGGACTTGAACGACTCCACGTCCAAACCAATCTCGAAATTGAAATATATCCCCGGAGCCCCAGATGGCGACGCCCGACTTCATCGAATTGCGTTGGCGGGTAAACAATGGAAGAAGACGATCGGTCGGAAGGTGGATATGGAAGGTGAGTTCGTTGCTGTTTTTCCTTTCCTCTCCTTTCCGATTTTGTTAAATTACCCTCTCGGTACTGAATTTCTCTCTCTCTCTCTCTCTTTCGTTCGTTGTTTGTTTCGTCCGGGGATTGAAAAAAAAACAGCGTATGTGTACCGACTCGCACTGGAATGGGCACGGTTGTGTTCGGATGATAGAGAGGGTATGACGATGTAGGCTCAGCATGTAGATGGAGTCCGATCATAGTAACTTAGTATCAGTAGAAAGCCACTGGAAAGTAGACTGTAGATTTTTATGTATGTATGTACTCTGGAAGGAAGGAAGGATTCAGAAGGAAGATACATAGAAATTTGACATTTCCGTACGGTGTATTCTGAGCATTCAAGTATAGACTACATAATAGTAAGTCTCCCTTTGAATTATATACATGAAAGAAAGTCCTATAAGTAGTACTCTATCAATTACTCAACGTTCACGTCCAGCCTTGAGCAGCGAGCTTGATGAGGCTCAATTGGAGAAAAACCGCGACGTCATCGTGTATGTTGCGTTAATGATGTACTATCTATGTCGGAACTCGCAAAAACTTTTGAAAAGATTTTGGTCTTCTGTAGTGGACAAGTCCGGATTTGAACCGGAGACCTTTCGCAAAACATCTTCTGTCCGTTCTGCATGCAAAGCGAACGCGATAACCCCTATGCTACATGCCCATGATGAAAACAGAGCTTAGAAAGCGCGTGACAAGGGGGCCGTTGAAAACTTTTTTGCCACTGATCTTGAACCTCTTTGAACCTTGAATGGCAAATGCCCATCTCTTTTGAACCATAAGTTGTTCTAGGCACCCAGGAGGCGAAAACAAAACCCGATGCCTATTGACTCGCAGTCTCGCACTGGAATGGGCACGGTTGTGCTTGGATGATAGAGACTCAAGAGAGTTTGGCCGCTGGCGATGTAAGAGGTGGGAGGTGCAAGGCCCAAGGCCGCTCAATGGCAGAGTCAAGGGACTCTCTATTGATCGTAGTACTAAAAGACCTAGTAGTAAAAGTGTTCGAGTATACTACCTTTTGCATCAACATAACTTAATAATAAGTAAAGAAGTTCTGTGATACTCAATCTTCAGTACATATATACTGTCTAGCAATGGGAGAAAAAGTACATACGGTACTGTCGAGATACTAGAGGATACAAGGCCATTTTTTGAAAAAAAAAAAAAATCCTTAACTGTCTGGACAGTGGACAAATCCGGATTTGAACCGGAGACCTTTCGCAAGGCATCAGTGGATCCGTGAATGCAAAGCGAACGCGATAACCCCTACGCTACATGCCCATGCTTTAACGGCTTGTAGAATGCCGTGACGAGCCGTTAAAAGAGTTCCCACGGCTAACCACTATTGTTTTCAACCAATCACAACTCTCCCACTGATCTTTTTTTTTTCCAACGGGAGACTCGGAGAGAGATTTGTGATATGAGCAGTATCGTGGGCTCAACCATCAGCTCGACGATCTTTTCCCGAAACTCGACTGTGTTGGGTCTCAATGAACGTACAGCATTCCTCATGGACAACCTATTCTCTATCTTCTTTGGGCTTTCACTTCGGTTCATCGTTACGCTCGTCACCACTCCAGACTCTTCCTTAAACCCAGATCCACCTTCGACATACATCTCCTCAGTCAAACTCATCGGAACCCTCGTCGGACTCTGGGAAGGCATTGTCCTGTTACACTTTACCCAGAAATATCCCCGGTCGTACGACCCGTACGTAGCCTACGGCGTGAGGATGTTCGTCGATCTACTCGTCACGGAGGATATGCAGCGGATGATGCTAGTGCTGCTGTGGACCGGGCTGGGGATGGTCCTGGCGGACGTGGGACCGGGGCTGTGGAGGGATGTCGGGGGGAGAAGGGCGTGGAGGAGGGTGGAGAGTAGGGCTAGGAAGGAGATGAGGGGGTTGGGGAGGGTCTGGAGGAGGGCTGGGAGGGGGGTGGAGAGGGGGTTGAGGAGGGGGCTGGGACTGGGTCGGGTGAGGATGCCTAGGTTGGGCTTGGGTCTGGGGATTCCGTGGTTGGGTGATCGACGGAGGACGTCGACGGTGAGGTTCGTGCCGTCTTCGAGGAGTCGGAGTCGTGCGGAAGAGGAGGAGGAGGATGTGGTATCACCCACATCGCCCACAGAGTCTGTTCTCTCTGGTTCTGGACCGAGGTACACTGCGTCTGCTGTGTCGACTGGTGTTACAGCGCCTACTGCTCCCGCTACTGGGACGGCGACGACGACGAGAAGAGTTCACGTGCCTCTGGCGCCTTCGATTTCTTCGACGACCTCGACGTCGAGTACGACCACTTCTTCTATCACTCCTACCTCGCTCGCTGGTCCTATTCCAGGCCCGACCGTGTCCATCCACCCTCCTACACCCGGTACGACGCCCACCCCGACACCTGGGAAGAGCTCAAATTCAAAACCCGAAAAGACCCGGGTGCCAGGTCATTTCAACCGCGAGTCAGAGACAGAGACAGAGTTGACTACTGCTGTCCTTACTAGAAACAGACGAGGACGTCTGCCACCGCCGTATACGACAACAACTCGCTCTGGCTCTGGCTCTGGCTCTGGTTCAATCTCAGGTCTAACTACAGATACCGAACACCTGGGTACCTCTCAGAGGTCTAAATACGCTTTCTTTCCCTCTGTTTCCTCATCCAAATCCAAGTCCAAATCTGCAAAAGCCGATTTAAGGCTGACTGAATCCTCCTCTTCCTCCTCCTCTTCCTCAGACGACGACGATGCGTCTTCGGCGGACACAGAGACACCTACGCCTGACGCGGGTACCCTACGGGACATATCCATGGAAGTCGTCGATGCTGCTGAAGCCGCAGAGGCAGGACAGAGAACACCAAGACAAGCACACACTCATCCTACGCTTCCTGATATGTCTACCCGCGATAACGAGCTTCTGCTCACAGACCTAGCCGATCCCTCTGCGCCTAAAACGCCTCTGCCGCCTGTAGACCAGGTGCCTGATATCCCCGATGGCGAAGCCGACGCCGAAGCCGACGAGGGATGGGAAAAGGTCGAGAGGGACGAGAGGGATGCGGTGGATAAAGATAATGAGGAGATTGAGGAGCTGAAGCGATCGGATTCGAAGAAGAGTAAAGATAAAGATAAAGGAAAAGGAAAAGGAAGAGCGAGGTCTATCCCACCTGAATCGACTGATCCTGAGTCTCTTGCTCCTCCCATCGTCAATCCAACAACAGATCCCATAGCTCCCATTCCTCCTCCTCCCTCACTCCCACCCAAACCACGCCCAGATATCACCAAAGCCCTCTCGTCCACCTACTACGACTTTCCCGATCCCAGCCCCTCTTCTTCCTCCTCCCCCTTCGCCTCTGCCCCAGGTACCACAGAAGGAAAACCAGAAAAAGCCGCATCAGAACCAGGCTGGCTCGATGCGTTCCTGGGTAAGAAAAACTCCAAGAAGGATAAGCACTCCAAGAAGGACAAGAAGGATCAAAGGGAACCGGAAAAACTCACAAAAGCGAATCCAAACTCCCCTTCGGTCATGTCAGCCGCGGTGTCCTCCGTGGCTGGCATCACCGATCCGTTCCTCAACGTCAACGTCAACCCCGTCAACCCTGGTCTTCAGAGGGATCAAGTGAACCCGTGGAACGGGAGGAATATGAATAGGATCAGCGATCCGAGTTTCTGGGAGGGTGCTACCACTACACATCCGCCAGGAGGACAAGAACGAGGGGATCGGTCGCCGCCGCCGACGTTTTCCGCGATATACCCTGATGGTCCACCTACGGTGCTTGGGGTGACGGATGATCTGGGCTATCAGGGCATGGGTGACGAGAAGAATAAAGAGAAAGAGAACGAGAAAGAGAACGAGAAGGAAGCGGAAGCGGAGCCTGGTTCCACCAAACCGACTTCAGCTCATTCGAGAGCTGCCTCGAGAGCTGCGTCGACGAAAGCTCGTTCCACGTTTTCCGTTTCGCCATCTATTCCTCCTCCTGACGAACCGGATCCCTGGGCGTCTTCGACGACTCCGGCTAACGCTCCCTCAAGAGCCGCTTCGATAGCGCCTTCGAGAGCTCCCTCGGCGAAAGCCCGTTCCGCGTTCTCCGTCTCGCCACCTGACGAAAACGCCGAACCCTCCTCAACGACTCCCGGGGCGAACGTTCACGTTCAGTCTCGAGCTCCTTCGAGAGCTCCCTCGGCGAAAGCTCGTTCGACGGTATCTGTCTCCCCATCTGTTATCCCTGGTCCTCCTAATCAAAACGAGGATAAGAACGAGAACGAGAACGAGAACGAGAACGAGGAGAACGAGATGGACCCCTGGGCGTCTACGACATCGAACAACGCCAACAAAGCTCATTCTCGCGCACCCTCGAAAGCTCCCTCTGCAAAAGCCCGTTCCACATTCTCCGTCTCGCCATCCACTCCTCCTCCTAACGATCCCGAACCGTCTTCAACTTTGGCCAAGGCTCATTCTCGAGCTCCTTCATTAGCTCCTTCAAGAGCGCCTTCCAGAGCTGCCTCGGTTGCACCTCCTTCGAAAGCCCGTTCGACACTATCCGTATCGCATACCCCTCCGAACGAACCTGAACCCACGCGGGAACCCGAACCCGAGGATGGTGCAGGTGCAGGTGCAGGATCAGGTCAACCCCCCTTGGGTCAAGAGAGTCAGGAGGGTCAGCAACATGTACAAGTGGATACGAACGCGAACGTCGACGCAGATTTGGAAGCTACTAAAAATGAAAGCGAAGAGAAAGCGAAAGCGAAAGCGAAAGCAGGAGAAGAGCCCGAAGATGAACCGGGAGAACCGGATACAGACACGGAGCTGCTCCCCAAGGACGCTTCGCCCTCCGAGAAGCTGAGTGTTTCGTTGGATTTGTTGAGGGAGATCGAGGGCTTGAGGGCGATCATGGGTCAAGGTGGAGACGACGACAAGCAAATCTCGAAGAAGATCCGGAAGCTTGAGAGGAGAGTCGAGCGGGTTTCGTGTAAAAGTACGTTTCTCGATGTTTTGTTGGTTTTGTGATATGTGTTTTTGTCTTCCGTCTTCCGGGATTACAAATTACTTTTCAAAAAGGCTATGTTACTAACTACTCTCTTCTCTTCTCTTTTGCTTCCCTTCCCTCCTTCCCTCCTTCCCTCCTTCCCCTTCCCCTTCTTCCCTATCCTTCCCCTTCCCCTTCCTCATCTACCCCACCTAGACCCCTCCTGGTCCACCTCGCCCTCCAAAGCGTACAGATACGAAATGATCACGAACCAAAACCAGGGTATATCCGATATCAAACAGCGTCTTTGGGAAATCTTGACTTTTACTCCCTCCACTCCGAATCATCCGGGTGCGGCTGCGCCTGCGAGTGACTACCTCGACATCACGTTCCCCAAGGCGTGGAAGGGTCCAAAGGCCAAGTCGGTTCGAGGGGCGGTTATCGAGGCGTTGGAAGAGTATGTGTGGTTTTTGAATCTTTTCTCTCGTTATGATATATTGCGTTATGCATTATGACTTACATGTTGTTGTTGTTGGTTTTTTTTTTTTTTTTTGGGTTTAGACATGGCCTAGAGACGGAGGAAGATCCGAATAACGGACGGGTTTTGAGGGTGCCTATACCGTTTCGAGGAGAGGATTGACAGGGGATCAATAGGGATTCAATGACGGACGGACGGACGTGACGAACGGACTGATGGACTGACGGACTGAGTGACGAAATAACCCACCCTAACCACAACGACGAGGACAAGGACGAGGACGAGGCGATCTTGTTATGTTCTTGAATGGATTCATTGATATGATCACGATCATGATCATGGCTAGCCGCGCTGCAAGTCGGAAGGGCGGAAGGAATGGAATGGAACCCGGAGGATACAGTGGAGGATATCGAGGAGGATATGAAGGATACCGTTGGGGGGGGGGGGGGGGGGGGGGGTTTCTTTTTCTTTTTGACTTCTACTGACTTTCAGTACTTACTTATCTACTCAGCTATCACAGATTTGGTCCACTTCACGACTTGTTTTTTATCCCTTGCTATGCTATGTACCAATCTGTGTTTGTTCCCTGAATCCCCCCCCCTTCTTCTTCTTATCATTTCTTATGATGACCATTCAGATCTGATACTTACTCAAATATCTGTAGGCTGTATTGCTTGATGCTTGATGTTTTCTCATTTTCTCATTGCTTTTTCATTATCTTCTTAAAATCTTGTTCTCCGTTTTGTGCTTTTCTTATTATGTTGATGTTTCTGTTATGACTCTGTTATGGTATCTTGTTTCTGTTTCTGTGTTTACATAAGTATCCCGTAGAGTATTGCATCGCGAAAAAAAGCCCAATGAATCATGAAAGATTGCCCACAGGCGCGTTTCAACTTTTGATTTACGATCGTGTCAATGAACGCGAAGGATATTGATTATTGAAATATTGAATATTGAAATATTGACCAGTCACCAAACCACTGGCTACAGCGTTGGTGCGTTGGCGCGTTGCGACACAATGGAATCTGTTCCAAGGCCCCATATGTATATCATATCATCACTTATATATAGAACGAGGAACCATGGAAGAGTGTTACACGGGCATGTAGCGTAGGGGTCATCGCGTTCGCTTTGCATCGGTGGATCTAATTCCAAGATTTGTTCTCGGGATGAGAACAAAGGAATTACATAAATCCCCAGTGGTTGCTTTGCGAAAGGTCTCCGGTTCAAATCCGGACTTGTCCATATGATAATTTGGAATGCGTCCATCTTTTTTTTTTCTTTTCAGTATGTACTTGCTATGTGTGTACTTTCAAGTGTACCTTGGTTACTGTGCTTGGTACTTATCATAGTTGGTAACAGTGCTACTGGCATCATGCATGCGTCCGCGATGTAGTACAAGGCGACCACCGTGAGCGTTCTACGTAAATAACATTTAGATTTCTACTAATTTCTAATTTCTAGCATTATTTATGATCAGAGGACCCCCTTGTACCAAAATGTACATCCTAGCCCAGCCAAGCCAGTTCAATCAATATCTTGGGGGCGAGGGGGGGGGGGGGTGGAAAACCGGGTGTACTGGGCCCTAGTACCTACATCGTCATGCCCTCCCTATCATCCGAGCACAACCGTGCCCATTCCAGTGCGAGTCGGTAGACATACGCTGTTAAGTTGGTTGTTCCCAGCGAGCAAACACATTAACAATCAATGAATGAATGAGAGAGATTTCAGTACTATTGAGAGGGTAATAGAGGGTAATATAACAAAATTGGAGAGGAACAAAATTTAAACAGTGACGAACTTACCTTCCATATCCACCTTTCGATCTATCGTCTTCTTACATTGTTTACCCGCCAACGCGATTCGATGAAGTCGGGTGTCGCCGTCTGGGGCTCCGGGTAAGTATATGTTTCAGGATGGGTTTGGGCATGGAGTGGTTCAAGCGTGTGTCTGTGTCAAGAGAGAGACTCAGAGCGTTAGATTGAATATTAGTATCCATAGTGCAGGTTGTGTTAAGGGATAAGGGATACCATACATAGTAGTAAAGAATACTCACCACCACCAGTGGTATCGTAGACCTGCTCGATGACCTCTATCCGTATTCCAGAAAAATATGCATAGATATTATATATCTCTTGAGTCATACCCCGCAGATAGAGGTATGTAACGCAGCCTGTGCCGCACCGCACTGCATTCAAGTCCAAGCGTATAATGAGTTCAAGTTACAGATATACTAGTAATTTTCGTGGACTCACCAAGGCTCTCAGATCCAATCACCAAAATACTCCTCGTACACTTAGTGTACTCTTCACCGGGACACTATCCGACGCGAGGAACGCCATGAATCGACCCGAGTAGGACATTCCGTCGAGGTCGAGGAGGTATTTGTATTTCCAGTGTCCTCCTATGTGGGTAGTACCAAGTCATCGACATGAGTCATCAGTACTGTACTCAGTACTCAGTAGCCTACAGTCCAAGAACAACGGTGTCTGCGTGGATGTTCATGTGTCCACCTTGCTACACCTTGCTCCCTGTGCCACAACGTCCCCGCCGGAGCGAAGCGCAGGCACTTTCTTGTAAGGTCTAAGTACTGTATTCAAGAGGAGAAACAAAAAATGGAATTGAAACTACCAGCGCTCGATTTTGACGCTCGTCCGGCAATACGTTAGGCAGGCAGGTGAAAAGTGAAAATCCGCCTTTTGATTCTTTTAGCCCTCTTCTCTCCTCCCTACACCTATCAAAGAATCCACCCTTCAAAAAATCCACAAAAAAGAAAAGAAGCAAAAAACTTCCAAATGACCGACACCCTCACCCTCATCTCCTCCATCTCCTTCATCAAACGCGGCGTTGCGCGACAAAATCCTCAGAAGTACGTGTTGGACGATAGGGAGCTGGAGCGGGTGAGCGCGTTGGCGAGGATTGAGCTGGAGGATGCGCAGGTGGAGCTGAGGAGGGCACATGAGGCTGCGAAGAGGATGGGGAGGAGTGATGGGGATGGGGAGGATGAAGAAGAAGAAGAGGTGGAGGTTTTGGGAGGAGATGAGGACGGAGATGAAGGTGATTGGGTCGAGTGAGTCGTTGAGTAACCGGTGGTCGAGACGTTTTCTGAATTATGATACTTTTTTTCTAGTGAAGACGAGGACGCGATGGACGTGGACAGCGAGCCTCTGAAAACAAAACGATCGTCAAGGACTTCAACACAAAACGACGACGACGACGGCGACGACGATGATCTGTCGAAATACAACTTGGATGAATATGATAACGATGAAGGAGAGGATAGTGAGTCTCAGTATCTCTGTTATTTGATCCAACTCTGACGATATCTGATTTCCACAGACATCCTCGGCCACTTTAGCAACATCAACAACATCGCCGTGTACAAAAACAACGACGAGGATCCGTACATCACTCTAAAAGACTCTGACGCCGACTCCTCCGACGAACGCACCGAACTAGAAATCCTCCCCACGGACAACCTCCTCGTGATCGCCAAAACCCAAGACTCGATCTCCCAGCTCGAGGTGTACGTGTACGAAGAGTCCGAAGCGAATCTCTACGTGCATCATGATCTCATGTTGCCCAATTTTCCTTTATGTCTCGAGTGGTTGGATTTTCCACCTTCCTCCTCCTCCTCCTCGAACGATCCGTCGATTGCGAACTCGGGATTCGGCAACTACATCGCCGTAGGCACGCTCGACCCCGAGATAGAGATCTGGTCCTTGGACGTCGTCGAGGCTATGTACCCCAGCACCATCCTCGGTCGGCCTGATAAATCCAAAGCCCACATACCCGTTCCGTTGGGAACAGGGAAGAAAAAGCGAAAGAAGACAAAGAAGCGGGAGGTCGAGAGGGCGTACCACGTAGACGCCGTTCTGGATCTGAGCTGGAACAGGAAGATGAGGAATCTGTTGGTGAGCGCGAGTGCGGATTGTACGGTGAAGCTGTGGGATTTGAGTCGGGATCCAACGAATTCCAATGAAGCAGAAGGAGGAGGAGGAAACGGCGCCCTACGCAGCTTTGAAATCCACACAGACAAAGTCCAAGCGGTCCAATGGAACGAATCCGACCCGGCGGTGTTGTTAACGGGGAGCTACGACCGTACGGTGCGCACCTTTGATTCGCGCGCGCCAGAGGGAGGCGTGGGTGTGTTTGGGCTAGGGAGCGATGTGGAGGGGGTGAGGTGGGATCCGTGGAATGAGAGTGCGTTTTATGTATGTGTTTGTCCCCTTTTTCCGTTCTTTTCCGTTATGGGTTTCTCAAGCTCACGCTCTTTCTCTCCATAGGTATCCCTCGAGAACGGACTCGTCCTCAACTACGACGCCCGTACCCTCTCCTCCTCTCCCAACACCCAAAACCCCACCCCAGCCCGATTCACGCTCCAAGCCCACGACGGCGCTGCCTCTGCGCTCGACGTGAGCCGACACATCAAAGGATGCATCGTCACCGGGGGGAGCGATAAGATGGTCAAGGTGTGGAACATCGAAGAAACCGAAGGTGTCAACGAGAAGAATAATCTCAATGTTAGTTTGGTACAATCTAGGGATCTGGGTGTGGTACGTGTATCTATATTCCTTTCATTCTTCGTTCTGGGCTATCATTTACTCGCTCTTCATCTCTCCCTTTCTCCCCTTCCACACAGGGCAAAGTCTTCTCAACCGCCTTCTCCCCCGACACACCACTCACCATCGCCGCGGGAGGATCGAAGGGGAAGCTCCAGATATGGGATGTAGGATCCAACGCGGGTGCGAGGAAGGCATTGGGGAGGAAGTTGAGGGAGGGTGGGTTTGGGGATGGGTTTGGGCAGAATTTGGGTGGGAAGAGGGAGGGTGGTGGGCCGGGGAAGGGAGGAAGAGATGTGATTGGGTTGGTGAGTGATGGGGAGGAGAGCGAGGATGGAAACGATGACGATGAGTGATGGGAGGGAGGATTGAGGAGGAGCATGGGGGCCGGGACTCTGAGGAAGAGTGATAGTCACATACTTACTTACTTATTTTACGTCGGAAAACCAAAAAAAAGTTCCTGAGCTCGAAAATTTCAATTGGACAAGTCCGGATTTGAACCGGAGACCTTTCGCAAAGCATCATCGCTTATTGTCTCGAATGCAAAGCGAACGCGATAACCCCTACGCTACATGCCCATACAATGGCTTAACCCTTCTCTTTCAATGACCTAAGTATGTTATCTGCTGCATATGTTAGTACTGTAGTACTTACCAATGTGCTGTGTGTTCACATCACTCACTCAAAACCGCAATTACTAGCCACAATTCAAGCAACCGCCGCTGCCGCCTGTGTGCCCACTGCCCAGCCTAGCTCGAAACATTTGGAAAACACACAGTGGCTCACTGCTCACTGCTGATAAAAAGCAGATCATCGGATCTTCCCTAAGCCCTTCAACTTGGAAAAAGAAATAACTCAAGTTGTAAGTCTGTAAGTATGGCTCATTCACTTGCTCTTGGAGACCCAAGAAGGCTTACAGCGCCTTCCATAATTCATGGCAAGTGCACTTTTTTCTGACTCAAAAAATAAAAGGTACCTAAGATATGTGAAGAGATCTGAAGAGATGTGACTCACTTTTAGCACCAGAATCACTCAGATTCCATGGAAACCTCTCCTGGCTAGTGTCGTGACATCTGACATGTGTGTTATTTTTCCTTATCACATGCACTCCTTTTTGCATCATATGTCCTTGCTACCACCTGATCGTTCTTCATGACTCACTACAATTAGCAATGATACCTCGAAGTACCGGCAATGCCTGAGAGTTCCGTGTTTGTATGGTCATGTTTGGCATTGAATTGAGAACCATTTTGGGATGGCACACCAACTCGTCCGTCATTATCCTCTCTCATCTGCTACTGTACTGCAAGAATATGGTAATTAGAGTCCGTTCGGCAAAGGTTGACGTTGATTCCGACTTCGATCTTGCACCGGTTAGCCGTGGTCCGGGAGCCGGTCCGCAACTGAGCGGTTGTAGAAATTAGCGTAGATCCATCAAAATAACATTGTTTTTCACTCTTCTTTCCATGTCAGCACCTCCAGAAGTCCTTCGAGCTCTTATAAATGAGTTGATGCAGAGTGCTATGCATGTAGCACAGCTTGTAGCTATAGTGGGAGCTCTCTATGCTTCTACCAGCTACTGGAATCAACCATATCATACCTCTATATTGTCTGGACAACAGTGGGTTAATGAACTCATTACAGGGCACCCCGAACGCATTCATACTGAGCTTGGAGTCCGGCTCCATGTATTTGTCCAGCTCATAGTTCAACTCTGCCAAATGGGTTATCGAGACAGTCGATATGTTACACTAGAGGAACAGACAGCAATTTTTCTGTATACCTGTGTAACAGGACTCAGTGTACGACATGTTGGTGAAAGATTTCAGTGCTCCAATGAAACCATTGCTAGGTAATCATTGATATTTGTGCATCCCATGTAGAGCCATTATAACTGACAAATGTAGATATTTCCGGCTCATCTGTACTGCACTTTCTTCTCCTGCATTTTACAACACATACATCCTGCTTCCTTCAACTGAGGATCCACCTGCTAGTTATCTCACAAATAATTCGAAACTCTGGCCTTACTTTCAGAATTGCCTCGGTGCAATGGATGGCTCTCATATTGCATGTACTCCATCTGCAGAAGACCGTGCAAATTCACGAAATCGAAAAGGCTTTCTTTCACAGAATGTCTTGGCAGTTTGCAGTTTCAGCATGCGCTTTCTCTATATCCTAGCTGGATGGGAAGGATCTGTCACTGATTCATTCCTGCTTGAAGATGCGCGTTTCACTGATCTCCGTATTCCCCGGGGCTATTACTATCTTGGTGATGCAGGATTTCCTGTTTGCGAGACAGTCCTTACTCCTTTCTGTGGGATCCGCTATCATCTCAATGAATGGGCTAGAGGTAACTCAAAGTGAGTAGTGACATTGATTTTTGAGTGTTGTTTAGACTGATGATGTGTAGGCCTCAAAATAAAGAAGAATTGTTTAATCTCCGTCATGCTCAAGCTCGAAATGTCATTGAACGTATTTTTGGTGTCATTAAAAAGCGCTGGAACATCTTGGTCCTTCCATCCAAATACAATATGGGACTGCAAGCACGCATTCCTCCTGCTCTGGCTGCTTTGCACAACTTCATTCTTGACACTGATCCCTTGGAACATATTCCATCAGATTTATATGATCCTGTCCCTGGAGCTCACATAGATCCTGCAGAGCTATCTGCAACTCAAGGTGAACTTTCTATTGCACGCCGAACAGAAGCAGATACCAATGCAGGATGGAGATTCCGTGAGGAAATTGCTCAAGCAATGTGGACTGATTATGTAGCTATTTGTGAGCAAAGAACATTGGCAGAGGAGCTTCAAATAGATGGTGATGATGATTAATTATTAATTAGACTCAAACATTATAGTAGATGAATAAATCATCATTAACACAATTAAACAGCTGTAATCTATAGAGCAAGCAGTAGCTAAATGAGTGTGATCAAAGAGTGGTATACTTTATTAGAATTCAGGATATTAATCCTCAATATCCAGCTCCATTTTTACCCAAGTCTTCCGGCTTGGACTATCAAGTCCTGCCATATAAAGATAGGCATCAGCCTTCTTGTGGTCAACAAATCGATTCGCAAGTTCGATTCGGTTACGGAGATCCAACCAGTCTTCCTTCTCCTGCAGAACATCTCAAGTCTCCTTGGTGCAAGCGTTGCGGGAAGGACTACCATTGAGGGCAGCAGCAAGTGTATTCGCACCTTCTACAAAGTTGTCCCCGAACCGGTTCAGTGCAGAACTGAGACTATTGACAGCATCAGCATGCAAGTTGGTTGATTTAACTCGCTTGGAGCTGAAGCTAGTCGCAGATGCTGGTGCAGGGCGTTTCTTTGGAGCAGGAGTTGAGAAAGCAGGATTGGAAGTGATAGAAGAATCCATGCTATGTGCAGTGACTTGTGTCTCGGGAATGGTGCTCTGAGATCGGGCCATATCCATCTCCATTAGATTCTCATCCCAAGAGAGAGATCTGCGATGGTGAATGGAGTTGGCCCGAGGAGCAGAAGCGGAAGTGGAATCAGCCTGAGTAGCAGGAGAGGAAGCAGAATTGGTCTGCCAAGTCAAGGAAGTGGGGTCATGCTCATCGGTGCTAGTAGGCTGAGTTTCCATCAGGAAAAATATTCTCATCTCTAGAGTCCCCAGAGATACCCCCCAATTCCTAGGTAGTCTCAGAGAGCCTAGAGTATCTGAGTTCTTTGAGGCTTCTAAAAATTCTCTGGGTGCTTTCTGGTGCTTTCTGGTGCTTTCAGATGCTTTCAGGATCTTTCAGGATCTCTAGGATGTTTTTTGATCTTTCAAAGTTCAAAAAAATCTCTGAGCAGCCTAGGAATTGGGGGGTATCTCTGGGGACTCTAGAGATGAGAATATTTTTCCTGATGTCAGAAGTAGAGTTCTGCTCCATCAGGAAAAATGTACTGAGCTCTCAGCCACTAAAAGCTGCTTTCAGGCCCCCTAGAGCCTTTCAAGGCTTTGGAGCCCCCAAAGCATGCAAAGATACCCCCCAAATCCTAGGCACTCTCAGCCACTTGAAAGTTCTGGGGTATTCTTTGAGGTGCTTTGAGGTGCTTTGAAAATCTTTGAGTGTCTTTGAGGATCTTTGAGTGTCTTTGAGTGTCTTTGAGTGTCTTTGAGGTGCTTTGAGATGCTGCCAAAGGCAAAAGATATGAATAAAAATTAATTGATTCCTCTTATTTCTATTTTACATTACATTCTATTTCATATTCTTGTATTATGTAATTTCTAATTATATTATATTACATAAGACTTATATAATTACAAGAATTTGTAATGTACCAGATAATTATCAAATTATATAGAGAATCTAATCTACAAATCTCATATATAAAGTCCTTCATTGAGATATGATAACATATACAACATGTAGATATGTAGTTAATATAGCTATATATAAGTTTGGACCATGTGACAAACTTTTTGATTGTACATGGTTCACGGTGGCAGCCCAACTATATCATTGAAACAAGATCTTGTCATACTAGTTGTCAATGGCAGTTTTTGATGCATGTATCTTCTAGATTAAGCAAGTTCTGCAATGCACTCATGTAATTTCCTATTTGGGTGATGTTTTCTTCATTTAATTTGATATTAAAAGTTGCTAAAAAGCTCTGCAAAGACTCTCAAAGATCCTCAAAGATCCTCAAAGATCCTCAAAGCACTTCAAAGCACTACAAAGCAGTTTAGTGACCTGGGTTACCTGGGCAACCTAGACCATTGAGGCACTTTCAGAGTCTCTAGGAATTAGCCATTTCTTGAGGTGCTCTCAGATCAAAGTATATTCCTTTGAGGTTGCCTAAGAAATGCCCATTTTCCTCAGTGCTTTCTAGCTCTCCTAAGCATGTAGGCCCTCTAGAGAGCCTCAAAGATACTCATAGTTGCCTAGGCCTAGAGTGTTTTTCCTGATGTCCTTCTGTGACTCTGCCATCAACTGACCAACACAACCTTGTTGACCAGTTGTAGCACGGAAAGAGTGAGTACCTTTGGCTTTCTCTGGACGGAGTTCTCCAACATCATTGAAGATCTCCCATCCAGATTTCTTGAAAGGAATACACTCTGGATGAGCAGTAATGATTTCTTCCCAGATACTTTCCTCAGAAGGACCAACATTCATGCCCAGATCATCATCCCAGTGAAGACCTGAGGTATAGTTCTTCAGATAATCTACAGCTTTGTAGATCTGGAGAAGCTACATGGTACAATATCACTATTTACTGCTGTGGAAAAAAAATAGGAACATACATCTGAGACCTTGTCTTGTACACTTGTCCATTTCTTGCAACCTCCTTTGATTATCTTCTGATTGAGATGATCTGCTGCAGCACGGTACACAGCTGGCTTGAACTTGTTCCCATCTCCTGCACCACTGACATGATCTTTCAGAAATGCAGTGAGGACAACTTTCAGCAAAAAATGTTCTGTGCTCAGGGCTACCCAACATAGATCTCAAAGCATTCCAGGTTGCCAGGGGTCTCTAGAGTCTTCAGTGTCTTTGGTTTCTCCTGAGACACCCCCCAAAACCTAAAGCCTTCAGAGTTCCTTGAATGTCTTTCAAAATCTCT